TGCCTCTATGGAAATTCTACCCCAAACGAAATGGAACTATGGAGATTTCTTGAGTTTCTGCCTCTGCCCAGGCCATAGTTTCTGGGGGGGAATTCAACTCCAGTTGGGTCATCTCCAGGGCCTGACCCAGTTGCACACACATAGGACGCTCTTACATGGGGTTTGGAGGTGTGACATAAGGCCTGCAGGAGATCTTAGCCCCTCTGGAGTGGCAGCCAAAGCCAGGCAGGATGATCCAGGGCACCTCAAACAGTTCCAGACCCCTGCACTTAGGCAACTGAGTTGAGCCTGTAGTCAGCACAGTCAATAAAGCAATTCAGTTCTCCTTTGCAGACGGACTCAGTGAAAGTCCATGCTGAATCGTGGGCTGCCAGACTTCCCTCAGCTGCCATTTGCCCCTCTTCCACTGCACTTATCTCTTGCTGCACAGCTCAGATAGCTGCTGCACCTGTCCCCTCTGATGGGTTTTCCAACGCTTTTGCTCAGTCATCCCTCCACTCTCAGGTCCCTGGAGACAGCACAAAGATCTTCTCAGTGTTCCACCATTCATTTTTGGAGGCTGTGAGGACACCATCATCTTTGTCTTGCATCTGGACGGACAAATATCATCCTAGTATCAGGAACATTTATCTCTGTGATGTGTTTTTCAAGCTGAGCCATTCAGCTGGGTAGGCACAGGGCTGGGCTGCAGCGTCTGACATCTGCTCAGCACTCGGAGCATGTGGACTATGAGGCAGCAGACACGGAGAGAGGTTTGGCAACACGTCACTTTGTGTTCCTGTTGCTCAGTGATAGAGGAGAGTCTGTTATCTTGTGCTTCCACTAGGGACAGAGTGACGAATTTAAACAGCTAGTGGGGTTCCAGACACTGAGAAGTGGGTAAATGCTGACTGTCCCTAATTAGATGAAGGTAAATCCTGTCCACAAACACATAGCTACTCTGTGCACAGCACTTTCGCTGGAGCAAAAGGGTTTTCTAGGATGACAAGACCTGACCAGAGCCCCAGCTATCTCTCTACCCCACTCTGTTCTTGGACATTGCATTCGTTCTACATACAGTGAGTGTTACAGGACTCAGGGACATGTTTGCCCTCCTGGGGGTGGCTAGATGGGACCACACTGGCAGTTCTTGTGTCTAATGAGCTATACTTGGGTCTAAAGTCTTATATCCATATTGCAGCTTTCCATCTGCCACCGGAGTAACACAAGAGGGGGACCCATTCACATCACAATACCTAAGTGACTGTTGTGGGAATACATGGAACTGCTGGGAAAGCAGGGGTAGCAGGCAAGGCATCCTTAGCTGTCCTGGATGCAGGAGGAAGGTTCCACCCCAAACTCCAGGCCCCTGGGTCAGGATGGTTACCTGCATCCTGTGAGCCAATTGATCTGGGCCAGACTCACAGATTGAGATGCAGATGAGCTGTGTCAGTGCTTTAATTAAAAGATTTTATGTAAAGAAGAAAAAGAAGTCAAAGACATTTTCATTTGAGACAAAGTGCAGAGGAGTGAGGGACATTTTAGAGAAGGTTTCTCAGATCCCAAGAGGTTTCACCTGGTTCCAGGTCAGTGGCGGAAATCAGTAGGATGCAAGTGATATTCTTGGGAGGAGGGAGAGCAAGAGATTTTTTAGATGGAAACTAGGCAAATTATATGAAAGAAGCTAAGGTAGTTGGTGGTCTTGCAACCAATAAAACCACCATCTCAGGCAGCACATTTCTTGTTATATTTTCAGAGGTGTATCCTAGTTAGCAATCTTTAGCCTGAGAGCTTGTTCTCCTTGTTGTTCTCCTCCCATTTATCTACTTTCTTTTCTTTACCAAGGTGAAGGTTATGGGGAGAAGAGAAGATGTGCTGGGTAAGAAGACAGACTGGGAAAGATATGTTGCCTGGAAAAGCATAAATGGGATCTAAAGGGACCTGTTACTTGATAATTCACCCACCAGACTGACAGTTTTTCCCCAGTCTATTGTTGTGTGTTTATGAATTCTTATGCACCTCAGTTTATTGTTAAATTTTATGAATTCTGTCATATCTCCATATTGCCCCCCTTTTCTCCCTCAGATTTTCCCTCCGAAAGTTGTTTGTTACCCTGTCTCCCCAGTTTTCCCGCTCCTCTGCTGCTCATTGGTCACAACCTGCCACCATGCAGGGAGAGCTGCCATTGGCCCATTCCCTCAGAGACCCGGGAGTTCCGCCCACCTTTCCCCTATCCCCCTATCACACTTTTCCCTGAGTTGTCAATCTCTTGCGCCTCCCCAGGTTAGAATCCACCCCTCAAACCTACGTTATTTAAACCCTTGTTTTCCCCAAATAAACGGCATTGCTGCACGAGATCTCAATTGCGTAAGAACCCTTATTGCAGTGCCCGATCCCATTTCCCTTCCCCCCGCGGACCGCGGCAGGAAGACAGCAAGCAGATGATGTGTCAGTGCTTGTCTCCATTGGGCACATGTGGAAACCTGCCCTAGTGCAGCCCCACCAGACCTGCCTGGAGGTGGTCAGCCAAACACAACCAGCCTCTGCATCCCCAGCACCCACCACGGTCAGATGGAAAGCTGGAACTCAACTTGGGATGGAAGAGCTGCACAAAGGGAGACTATGTTATTCTCCCATCCACACTGCAGTGCCAAGCACTGCCAGCCCCTTGATTCACGGTGCCACTTTACTCCCACAAGGTGAAACAGAGTAGGGTCTGGAGGAGATCAGCAGTGCTGCTCCCATTTTACAGAGGGACAAAGCAAACAGACCTGGGAGAGCCTCCCCAGGCATGCATGCCAAAGCACCTGCAGCAAGGAGCTTAGACCAGCTGAGAACTAGGAGGAACTGAATACTTGGCCATTTTCATCTTGCCTGTTAAATTTTGTAGGTTTTAGGGTCAGAAGGGACAAATCCTGTCAACTTGACCTTCTGTAATGGAGAGGTCTGGGAATTTCCTCCAGTGGGACTTGCAGTTTGCAGTTTAACTGTAAGACCTTTTTGCAAGACAGCCAGTCCTAATTTGAAAACCTCACACAATAGAGAATCCACAACACCTTTTAACATTTTGTTCCAACAACAAATTACGCTCCCCGTCAAGCATGAATAGTTTAAATTGTAGATTTATTTCTTCCTACAAAGCATATTTCAATAGCTTGACAGCTGGAGTTCATCAGATCTAAAACCCGGATGACTGTATTTGGCCAGATGAGTCTTACCTCTCCAGTGACTCCAAAAGAAAGGCATTAACTACAGAGTGATTCACTGCCTTTGAAATCTAGGTATGAAGAAAAAAGAAAAATCTTCAGATTTGCATGGGCCTGCCAGGCAAATAATGCCCAGAAGGTCTCTCAAGGCTGCTAAATTGAAAACAAGCAGAACCACAACTTGCAGCAATTTAAGGGTGTCTCCTGCCAGGGAAAATACCTTTTCCTCCCCACACTTTAATAACAGTTCTACAGCTCTTGATATATGGCATATCAAACTGTCCTGTGCACTGCCCTCCTTACATGGGTAACAAAGAGCAAAGACACAACCATGTCTCAATGAGCCAGATCCTTATGGAGACTACATTCTCCATAGCTTCCCATCCCCTGATGGCAGGGAATGGCTGCCCCTTTCCTTCTCCTAATGGATCCACTCAGCAGAGCTTGGTGCTTCTCCAACAGATCCCAGCAAAGCCAAAGCTTTACACAGTTGGGATATGATTAAGACAAAAAAAATTCACCTGAAACTGGTATGACATTTTATTGCTGTTTTAAGAGATGTAATAATACATACCATTGAGGCACAGGTAAGGCCAGGATATAGAAGGCAGCAATTACTACATGCCAGGAAAAAGTAGGAGGAATGTGGTAGGTAAAGTAACCAAAAAAAACCAAAAAAAACAAAAACAACAACAAAAAACCCAAACAAACAAAAAACAAACAAACAAACAACAAAAAAACACAACAAAAAACCCCTAAAACACAACAACAACAACAAAACAACAACAACAACAAAAAAAAAAAAAAAAAAAAAAAAAAAAAAAAAACAAGAATCCACACTGCACCTTGGATCAAAAGTCTTAAGATCTGCAGCAAGAATTTTAATACATTGATCAAGCCACTTGAAGATACAAAGTAGTAGAAGAGTAGAAAAAGGACTAACAGTCCTGAAGAGAATTGACCTGTGCAGCTATGTTAGCTGATCACAGTAATATACAAGACTGCTACACATATTTTGAGGGATAAACTTTCATTTTAGAAATGGAATAAAGCAGCATGCTGTCTGCACATAGAACAAACCAAACAAACCTGGGAACTTTCTTGCCAAAAGCCATTTTATTTCTAGTTGGTGAATTGCAGGAAACCACATTCATCCAGACCTCACTGAATTGTTCAGTTTGGCAACATATGGGAAGTTAGGAGTTATTTTAAGGCAGCACAATTAATACAGGAAAAATACAGCAGTACACAAATCAGCCAAAGAGCAACAAGAATTTTATTTACACAGAATGCAGGCTGGAATAAAGCTGCTTGTGTAATTCTGTGAGCACTGGACTCAGACCTGTAGTACTTTTCCTTGCATGGTGTAGGTAATAAAGACAAAAAAAAATGGTGACTCATGCAATGTGCTAAGTGGGGCTGGACAGTACATGTAATGCAGAGTGGGATTGCACACTCAGAAGAACTGTTAAGTGGGAGAATAGCAAGAGAATTTAAATTGTACGAAGGGTGAATGATAAATACTTGCCCAATGGTTCTTTCTGCCTTAAGAATAAGATGCCTGAGAGCAGGGCACTCCCACTCCCCAGCCCATACCTTTGCCATTATATGAAGTGCAGTACCCCCTCGCTTCCCACTCACCCCAAAAGGGAAAGGAATAAAACACAAATGGAGAATGTAGATGTACTGAAAAGGTTAATTCCCCTTTGTTCAGGCTGAAGAGGAAAAGGGCTTGGGGAAGCTATTCCTATAGATAACTTCCTTTCCGTGGTAAAGTTTGCTGACAGCTGCTAAAAGATACAAGCAACACTAGAATTTTACAGTGCGGGTATCAACATTTTATTTTTTTAAAAAGGAAAAAAAAAGAATACATCTTTTTGGTGACTGGAAATGTGTACAAAGTTACGTATTTCAATGAATCCATGCATTAAAGAAACAGTCTCTGAATGAGTTTCTCTAATGCACTCACAAATTCTTTCACAACCAATAATGCTTGTTTACAATACTCTTTAGTAATATGGCATTGGGAGAGCCAGAGATCCCCTGAGATGCCAGTACTGCTAGTACAGGAGGTGCCTGACCTCAGTCCCTCAGCCATGAGCACCAGGGATACCCCAGTAATTCTGCAAGGTAGAAAAGGAGGTGCTCCAAACAATGGAATGCCTTAACCTAAGACCACCCCAGGAAAATCCAACAAAATCTCAAAGCTGACAGAGAATCAGCAGTTCCCACACATCTCTAAATTAACTCATCCCAACCTTGATATTTAGAAACAGCTTTAAGGAGTATATTTATATATAAATCTACTAAAAAAAACCAAAAAAACAAAAAACAAAACAAAACAAAACAAACAACCAACAACAGTATTGTAAAATTTACATGAACACACGCAACTTTAGCAACACTGTGTTTCCAGTGGATCTTGGCTGTTAACTGCTCGCAGTTTATATACAAAGCTGATTAATTAGAAAGGCTGCTTCGGGGAGCCAAGCTTTCTTTCTAGGTTAGCCCCTGGCTAGAACAAGGATTTCCTATGTGTGATCCTCTAGGAGCTGGCAATATTAAAATTTGAGATTAGAACACCAGGCTGCACTTGTTTGTAAACATTTTGTCTTCATATTAAATTAAAATCCAGTGCATTCCTACTGTCTGCGCTGGTGTTACGGATCAGTTGATTGATACAATGTTCTAGGAATTCATGGGAGATATAAAAAGTTTGGCCAATAAAAATCTTTTAGACTTGTTAATTCCTGGTGTCAAGTTATTGACTTTAGAGCAACATCAAGCAGAATTTGATCCACAGTACAATCACAGGCAAATTTTTTTCCAGGATGTAGGAGTTTCCAATCCACGCTAGCAAAACGATTTAAGTTTTGCATGATCCCCATTCTGCAGATTGGAACATAGGTTTGAAGGGAAGCAGTTTGCCAAGGTCACAGGCAGCGTCAGTAACACAGCCCTAAAAGAGCTCCAGATTCCTGAACACCTGTTGGACAGCAATGCCCACTTCTCTCCTGACTCCCACAGTCCTCAATCCCCTTCTATTAGGAAAAGATTACATGATACTGCATTTGGAGGAAGGCTTACAGGGAAATGTCAAAAGCAAATGCATGAGGGATATGAAAAAAAAAAAAAGACTAGAATATCTCAAGACAGGTAAAAAACTCTTCCTGTTGTTCTTGAAGCTCTTCTTATCTTCTCCTCCTCTTTGCCAATTGCAGTCCTGAGTAATGAATACCTGCCAGATCAGGGTGGCAGCTTCCTCAGACCCTCTCCTTGTGCTTCACGTTAGCCAGCTTGACTGTTTCCTGCTCAGAGGCAGGTGGTGAAGGCTCGTCGTGACATCCAATCATCAGCTGGTAGACTATCACTCCTGCAATTGCCCCAAGGAAAGGAGCAACAACTGGAACCCACCACCAATGGTTGCAAGCCCTGGCAAATAAAAAGGAAGTGCACAAAGTGAGAACTGCAGCCTAAGCATTAGGATATTTGTGTTTAGATCTGGAGCAACGCAAGAATCTGGTCCAGTCCAACCATCACCACAGACTTGCACAAGACAACAGTACCCACATGTCTGCAGCGTTTCCAAGGCAGATATTGCCCCCACCCCCCCCACCCCCCTGCAAGTCCAGGTGACAAGCAATTCAGAACACCTATTTTCAGGACTTCCAAGACTATCTCTTCACCAAGAACAGAGAGAAGCATTTGCAGTGCCTAAACTAGGCACCTTCAGTTCCCTCCCACTGCTTGCAGGAAAGCTGCCCTTGACAACAAGAATCCTCTATTGCTCATGCCTGTCTTAATTTTCTCCAGAAACAACAAAATCCGAGCATAACAAACAACCTCCATTTTCTGCTGATAAAAAAAAAAAAAAGATATGCTCAGGTTCAAGGTACAACTGAAATTCTCATGGATGCTCCTAGATTTCCTCTTTGATAGCAAAGTTATGTCATTTGCTCTCACCACTGGAATCTGCTCAGCTTCTGTGGTTACTTAAGAAGTCAAAGCAGAGCAAACAGTGCCTTTTAAAAACATTTAGGCAATCCAAAGATGCCTCATGGGGGCCAAGACTCTTTATCTATTTGGACTCATAATTTATTTTACCTTGATCCACAAGGTTTTCATCGGCAAGAACTTACCCGAACACCTCCGTGCCCCAGCCAGCGATGGCTGTGAAGAGACGAGGCCCAAAGTCCCTGGCAGGGTTGACAGCGTAGCCAGCGTTGAAGCCCATGGAGGTTCCAATAACAAGGACAACAAAGCCAACTGTGAAAGCCTCCAGCCCTGTGGGGACGGGGTTGTTGAAGGGATCAACAATAGCCAAGACACAGACAATGAGGGAGGCGGTGCCAATGAACTGGAGAGGGATGGGGAAGAAAAAGAAGAATTTATTACAGGTTAGTCTTTTAACCAAGTTATTTAACTCCTCTAGGACATAATTTTCTTAACTGGAAGAGCTGCGCTAAGTCATCCTGTGACATTATCAGACCACAGTAGACTGAGCACCCATGGGAACAGGAGAGTGGAACATGCTCCTCCTGACAGCCCATAGTGTCAGCCAAGCTCACACTTTTTTCCCTACCCACAGAAGAACTATGAATAATTGCTTAGGAAGCCAGAAAAGCTGAAAACATCTTCCTAAACCTGCTTCCAACATGCCATGGCTGGGTGGCAGCTGACCCTTTTGTGGTAACCTTAAGGAGACAGTCACATTCAAAAACCACCACCCCCCCCACGCCCAGTTGATGTCTGGATTGTGCAACAGCCACAGTAGAAGAGTGAGAGTGAGAAAGAGCCAACATTTCTCATGCTGTGGCTCTTCAGGGACTGAGAGCAAATTACATTCTTTTCCTGGTGTCTTGACCAGTGTTGTATCACTGGTTAACCCCCCCCAGCACCTTCTTGCTGTGAGGTCCTTTCTGGTGTTGCTCTTCCTATGGGCTAGTGAGATACCCGTGTCAGCTCCAAAAACCTTTCTGGTATCTTTTCTTAAAATTGCAATTCATTTTCTAACTAAAGGTGAGGCCCAGAACCACCCCAAAATAGTCCTCTTCGAATGCACCTTCACACTCTCAGCACCATCTTACCTGGTCAAAGAATCCATTCACAACATTCAGATGCTCAGATGGGTAGGTGGCAAAGATACCAGCAGTGCCATTCTGTCCTATTGTGTACAGCCGGTTAGAGCCAAAAGCCCAGATGGCATCTAGAGGCAGGGATAAGAAAAGAGAAAGGTAAAGAGGTCAGTCATTTTACAACATGCATGGGAGAGAGGACCCTGCTTGGAAAATTACTAAAACACAGGCTCCACAGAGCCATGAAAATTGAGATAGAACTTCCTGGGCACCCCGTTGCTGTATGTTGCAAACCCATTTGCTACAGACAGAACATTCATTTGGAAATTACTTTTCTGGAAGATCTGTGTCAGTCCAGACAGCAGATAGAGGACTGGCCATTCAATGGTCCACCTATCATTACTCAGGGGCAAAGAGTGGCACATTAACAATGCTGTTTGGCCTTCAGATTGATTTGAGGAGGCTTGAACCCATCATCATGAGAATGGGAAAGCCATCCCAGAAACCCAGCAAGGAGGTTTGATGGATCTCTGCTCTGCAAGAAAGTTCTTCTCTCTGATCTGATAACCTCCCTCCCTGCAGTGAGTCACAAAGAGCAGTAGTCTCACCCCAAAAAGCACACAAGGTTTCCACACTTACCGTAGTACAGCCCAAAGACTATGCCAGCTCCGAGGAAAGCCCCTAAGGTTTGTGCAAGGGCATAAATTGGCAGCTTGATCCAGGGCTCCCGGGCCAAGAAGCACATGGCAAAAGTGACAGCTGGGTTCAGGTGTCCACCTGCAGAGAGGTTGGTGGTTAGTGCACTTTTACGGGCAGAATTGTGGTCCCAGAGTTGTGCCAAGGGTCACTAGTTTCCATGACAGTGCCTCATAGGAAAAGTACAGCCATCTAGGCCTACACAATTGACACAGGTGAAATCCAGCCCACATGAAGCCCCACACATACCTGATATCTGTCCTGCAATCAGAATGCCAAGTGTCACAGCAAAGCCGAAGGCCAGGTTGACAGTCAGGAAGTTTCCATGAGACCCTCTGCTGAGCACGATCTGCGCAACGGAGCCACAGCCGAAGAGCTACGAGGAGAAGAGATTGAAATTACCACCTCTGTTTCACATCAGGGCCAGTTACTGACCCACATCTGCAACTGCTCCATTTAACACCTGCTTGCACAGCCTACTCATGACTTCAGAGCCTTCAAAGCTTCAATCTTTGGTCAAAGTATCCAGGCATCACCTCTAGGACAGGAGGGAAGGAAAAAGGGCACAGACAAACCTACCTCCTGGCAGAGGGAACCGAAATGAGGGCCAAAATCAAAAGCAAGATAAATCTACAGGAGGCTGGAGTTCTTTATCCTAATATCTAATTTTGAGGTGGTAGGTGAGATGGATCAGCCAGACAGCATCCTGATCTGAGGTATTCACAGTGCAAGTATTCTGATGAGGGATATGGGTACCTTTTTGCTAAAGGCTAATAATTGTTTAACACAGCAGCACAAAGATTGGTAGGAAACAACTTTTTAATGCCTGGAAATACAGTCATGACTGAAGAAGGCCACATTCAGCCTGACATTCATGGAGTTCTCTTTCAAGCTCCATCAAGAAAATTCCATATTCCAGAGAGCTTGCCATCAGCACAGCAAGTCTTGGACTCCTGTCCAAGATTAGGGGTGCACCAAGCACTTTGGTGGACAAAAGCTGTTTATTTTGAGTGATGAAAGTGTTTCCTAATAGCCAAGGAAAGCATGTGTTCTTGCTTAGAGACGTTTGCTCCAATCATGATCCTTCTCTTCCCAACTGCATGCAAAAGCCATCATTCCTATGCTCACCCTTAACAACTCAAACCAGTTTTTCCTGAGAATTCTGTTCAGCAGTCATCCAGCTGGAGGATTTCTGTCTTGTCAAGTCTTTCCACTACTCACCATACAATTTAAAGAGCCCTAATTGTGATCATCTGTATGTTTGTATCTTCCACTGACTCCACCTGAACTGATCCTTGGTGTATACCAGGGAATATCACATCAGCAGGTACTGAGAGCATCCTTAAACTAGAGAAGAGATTACAGCTTGCTCATGAGATGCTCAAATCTAGAGATCAAGGCTTGACTTATTTCTTCTGACCACATTCCCATAACTACACCCCCACCAAGACTTTCTGCTTCCATGAACTCCATTATCCCAGAACTACTCACTCAATTGCCACAGAGGCGTTATCCACTCCTAGAGGATAAGCCACCAGATAGGCACCAAGGTAGCAGGGTTAGCTGTCTTCACCTCTCCAGCCAGTACTGGACACGCCCATTGAACAACACACAACCCAAATCAGGGGCAAAGCCAAAACACAGGTAACTCATCCTCTCCCATCACCTTGACAAATGACAAATTCCTAGCAAAGTAAACACTGCACTCAGCCTACTGTGAAAGAAGCAGCCAGGTAGGCTGCAGGCTGACTCATGAGGTGGACACTCTGTACACAGATGCCTCTTGCCAAGGAGCCAGGTACCCAACACAACCTTGCACAGAAAGAACAAAGGAACCTGTTGAACTTGCTGCTTAAGGAGGGATAGCCAGCACTGCTCTCTACTGGGTGCAGTCAGAACAGCCCCTACAATGTCCTCACCAAGCTGGGAAACCATGGCAGAGGAAACTCCAAGACAAAGGCAGAAAAGATGACTCTTGTTTATTGGCAGCAAACAGAACCAGCTGTGCCCAAACCACCAAGGCAAGCATAGCTCCCATGGAGCAAATAAATACTGGCTGATGACCAGTATTCTGTTCCTTTCCTTACTCCTGACAAGCCCCAGCATGCTTTGGAGAGAGTACTTGGCCATGGTGTTTGCCTCTCTGAGGCCGCACAGCACATCAGTCTGACCAGGGAGAGGACAAGCTCACAAAAAGCTGAGTTTGGTAGGATTGACCCCAGGTGATTCCTATTGAAGGTATTTGTGTTATTCACTCTGTAAGAACTGGCAGTTCTGCAAGTGCTTGGTGGTTGACTTGTTATACACATACCTTTTGGTTGCAAAAAACCGCAGAGTAAAGTTTTCCCACCTCCACCTCCCTGTACACCTGCAAAAGTCTTCCCTTAACCTGGGGGAAAGCCAGGTCTGCCATTTCTCAAGGGGTTATCTCAAGAGGTTATCCTCCTCTTCTCTATCCTACACCTGGCAATAGCTCTCCAGCTTTTCCTCAGAAGAGAGTCTATGGGCCGTGCAAAAACACCCTGGAGCCACTCCACAAGGGCATTACAATTGTTTATCAGATGAGCCCTGAGCATTATTTGGCTTAATTCAGCACAGAAAACTCAACCCTCAGCAGATAAAAAGAGTACAGTGATATTTAGGGACAGGGTTGAACTTTGATATGCATGTGTTCAATTCCATCCTGCACCAGTGAAGTCCACTAAACACGAAAGTTATATTGCCATGCATGACATCCCTCCATGGCATTCGACTTTTAGGAACCAGTTCTAGTCATGCTTACACGTGCTTTTGTGGAAAGTAGCTTAACAGTACACAGTTTTGTTGTGGTAGTAGCTATTAAAATTTTTTAATCACACCAATTCCACTTCTGCTGTCTGCTAGCTTTCCTTCAAATCCCTTTTCCCAGGTAATATGAGACAGGACACATTTTTTTAAGTCCTCCTTGTCCACTGCTCACAGAGGAGTGTTTAGGAGCAGCTACCTTGAGTTGAAAGGTAAGGAAGGTCCAATAAAAGCAACTCAGCATTTTTCCCCGAGTCTTTTAAGTCCACGCAATGGATGCAAGCGTTCTTAGGCAATATTGTACCACTATGGTCAGGGACAGTGGTGCACATCTAAGGGGGAGATGATATCTAATTCTTTTGATTTTAATAACCTGACTCCAATAGCATTTGGTTGTTTGTAGGTTTTGTTGATTTTGGTTTTCGCTTTTAAAAAAAAAAAAAAACCACTACTGTAAGAACATCCAGCCAACAGAAACCCAGCTTAGCACCTCACAGGGCAGTGGGTGCAGCAGTCAACTGTTATACCCCATGATTCACTAGCCGAGTTCAAAAGCGGTTTTAATGTGGTAATAAAATGATTGCAACAAAGCATCACTCTGATCTATTAAAGCTACTCTCCAAGGAACTGAGGTCAATGCACCCATTAACCAGGTTAATGGAAGCCTGCTCCCTGATTTCATCTTACTGACTCCAGCAAATCTAATGGCTTTCCCTGCCGACAGAGAGGCTTCTCACTCCTCGTGAGCTGATTCCACTCCTTGCACTAAATAACCATATCCACGTTCTGCAGGAGCTGGCCCAAAGGTGGAGGAGCTGACAAACTCCATAGGGGAGGAGAACCCCCCCCTCTACTAAGGACACAACAGCTAGAAGCAAAACCAGGACAAGGCAGCACATTGCTGGGGAAACTTCACTCTCATGAAACCCTAATCTCCCTATGTCCAGGGCGTGTTTCAAGACTGAGCAGTTGGCTTTGTCACTCAAAATAAAAGCACCCTGTCTCAATGTCTGAACACACCAAACCCCCAGAGTCAGGGTAGGAAAGGACCATGGAGGACAAAAAGAAAAGTTGCAACAGCTAATAAAGAAGCAAGGCCACCTTAGTTTTTAGGCAGACCATGTGAAAAATGGCTTCATACGTGAGCTCAGGAGAAAGGTAGTGCTCAGCACTCCTCTGCACAAGAGACATGTTTCTTCCCTTTCTTTTCTCCTTTATTTGCCAGTGCTCTTTTACACCTTCAGGTGCAATACAAAAGGCCTGGGTGTATTTGCTCTTGGACTTCAGACAGACTGATCTCTAAATGAAGATGGGAAAGTTTTGCTGGCATAGACCAGGAGGAGTGCAATTACCTGAATTACAACTTTTCTCCACAGCCAGCAAATAAACCAGGGATTAGGCAAGGAGCCTGCTGTAAATCTACCCTAATCACCTGGGTGGATGGGAAAGACTGGTCAGCCCTTGCTGGTAGCGGGGAAGATGCCAGAAGGGCAGTCAAATCATGAGTCTGCTCTGAAGGAAGAGACCCTGAGATATTGATGGATGATTTTAAGCTTTGGACACACAAAGGACACCACTCTTCATATCAGAGTAAAATTTAAGACTATCCTACAGTTCCTTCAAGGGAGAAGGCAGAGAGAGAGGGAGCGCACCATGAGAGATCTTCCTCAACTCCATGGCCTGTGTGGTCAGGAATACTGCCCTTTCTGCTTTTCCTCAAAGCATCTCTCAAACAACCAAACTGGTCACCATTTTCAATTTCAAAGCAAGGAAAAACCTTAGACCCCAGAGTCCAGCTTTTCATCCAGCACAGCTGGAGGCAGCCTGGGCAGAAGCAGTCCTGCAGGGAAGGGCAGCAGCAGATGGTCTGTTATGTTACAGCTCTTTACACACCACACGCTGTCCCAGAGCCAAGGCAGGGCTGCAGGACCCACGAGATAAGAGAGTCTAAGGAAAACTGTGACCCACACACATCACATGCCAACCAACACTGCACAAAGCTGGAGAAATGAGCAGCTTTCGGGCAAGAAACCTGAGCAACTTTCAGCACAGGAGTTGGGCATTAGAGAGGAAATTCACTGTTTTTAGCTTGTTCACACGCACACACGGAAGCAAAAACACTTATTCTGATAACCCTGGTATTGCGCAGACTAAGAGGCTTTAACTGTTAGAGAGACCAGTCTGGTGGGGTTTTCATCACAAGGTTGGGCACTCCTGGGGGAAAGCTGCCTTCCCACCAAGGGCAAGTCTCAATGCGTGAACTGTCCTGTTTGCAGCAAGAAGAAATCTCCTGCTCCTGCACAGAGACAGCAAAAAGAAACAGTTTTGGACAGTTAATGAAGAGCTTCAACCTCTTCTTTTGGAAAAGGTGAGGGAGAGAAGCAGCAGTGCTGCCATTCCCCACTCCTCAGCACCCAGCAGCCCATACCCCTTGCAGGGAAGAATCAGCAGCACTTAACATGTGCAAATATTTCCACCCACTTTACCAGCCTAGCAAAGCTTTAGCAAATCAAAGAAATTTTAAAAATTAAATATATATATATATATATATATGTGTATATATAAGGTAAAATTACACTGAGGTTCCCCTCACCTTGGTCATCCCCTTACGTGAGGCTCCCTTTGCCCTAGTTATCCAAACCACTTTGCTGTTTTGGTTCCTGTGGTCTGCAGCACACTCACACTCCAGAAAGCTCCCACCTAGCCACAAAGTCAAGGCAGCACTGATTGAAAAGCAATTAGGAATTGTTTTGTTCTTTTTGCCTGTACAACAGTGAATCACAGTGAGTCCCACTTGGAAATCAGTCATAATCCGCACATTACTTCTCCTATAAATGTAAAACCCAAAGAGAGCCAGCTTTGATATTTGCAGTCAGCAGAGCAAGGCAAACAGACCTTTAAGAGAGACACGGACACCAGCCACTGGAAATCTGGCATTAATGAGTTGCTAGAGTAATAACACAAACAGCAAGCGACTGGGAAAACGCCTTCAGCATTGGTGTTGCTTAACTATTGCCAGCAAGCGGTGCTTCCAACACAGGTATAAAGTTCAAGCCTAAAGTGCCACTCAGAAAGTGCATTTTGAAGAGGGGAAAATGCCAGTTTAGCTATCAAAGGAAACTTACGTAGAATCGACATTACTATTTTTGCAACTGCAGGTACACTACCCACAGACTAAATGATCATTGTACAAGGTGCTGTACACAAGGGTGGCTTGCAAATAGATAGCAACTCACTTTCATCCTCTTCAGGGCTACCTTGGTTGGATTATTTTCCTTATCTTTAAAAAAAAAAAAAAAAAGGCGCTGTTCTGCTTTAATGTTACGACCCCTAAATGACTACCCTCACAACAGCGGGGTTGGAACTAGATGATTTTTAAGGTCCACTCCAACCCCAAAACCATTCTATGATTCTACCTTCACAATAAGAAAAATAAAATCAAGCACTAGGTTAATTCTTTCAGCCAATAAGACTATGCAGGGGTCTGCAATAGCTTTTGTCTTCAAGAGTTTGAGAAAGCTGCAGTCATTATGCAAGTGAAGGGGAGGAGGGAAGAAGCTGAAGCAGTGCCAATATCCACAGTGGGACAAGTTTTACATTACGCAGTGAAATTTAAAATAAGCTACAAACTTTAAGCGTCTCCCTCCCTCGGGGCTCAAGAAGTTGATTTTAACGTGAACAATATAAAACATTAAACCCATCCCTGATACTGTTCTGTTCTAGACATATTTGTCTTCAGTAAACTCCATTTCCCATAAAGAAAATTTCATGGATCCCAGGTTGGATATTTTACTGCCTGAAGCTCATGGTATTTACTGGGGTCCAATGCATCTAGATGCACACACACACAGGCTCGCAAGGTGGGCAACAGGGACTTTTGCAAGCTATAGAATGACAGTTTCTCTCCTGAGACTATCCAATTCAAACTATTGTCCAGGCCATCTGAAAGGGGAAGAAAGCTGCCTTCAAGTTCCCTTTCTCTTTCACGTAGATGATATAATAAAAAGATGCAAAGGAATCCAGGTGGTAGGGAGCAAAATAAATCACTTTTCTTTAGTAAAAGTAAAAACTGTGAGTGTCCCTTTATTAAGAATAGACTGGGACAACACCAAGTCAGAAAGGTGTTGACTGTCTTGGACAGCAGCTCAGGAACTCCTGCACACAGTGAGGACTTTGCTTGTCCCCTTAGACACACGCACACGCACATTTAAACACCACAGGTTTGGTGCTCCAGAGGACAAGGCATGTGTTGCCCACTTCTGCCAGTGCAGCCTCCAGCATGGTCGATGGGTACCCATTACCACCCTCATTTTGGATGCTGCTTAATGAGCTTGAACCAAACCCTTCCTCAGGCTCTGAGCAGATCCCAGCTCTTCTCCGTCTGGAGAGGCAAGGCTTTAGGGAAAAGTAGTCTCTGTTGTGCCAACTGATACAGTTAGAAGAAGAAATAATGCTTTTTGAATCATGAGCCCTTCTGGAATCCACGTGGCTAAAGGCTTGCCTTGTTTCTCAGCAATAATAACTTGGCTATAAGGAGACATTATTCCACCTTACAAGAATTCCTTGTTTCAATCCTGAGACCAACTGCACCAACATCAGTGATTCATAGACAGCAACTTTCTAGCTGTTAATCACTTTCCTATCAACTTCTACCCACCTTAATTCCAAATAACCCTTCCTTAAAAAATCAACAGGACTTGTTTGCAAACCACCAAAGCTGGGTTGCTCTGATAATGCAGACATTTCACTGTTTTCTTTAAAGAGCGATAACACTTTACAGGGTTTTAGCAGAGTCCCCTAAGCTCGCATACAAGACTCACTCGCCCTCCTTTCATTGTCAAAAAATAATCTTATTTATGAAAGCATAAAATTGCATTGCTCTTTTCGTGTTGTTCCCCAAGTGCACATGCAGCTTCATCAAACCTTCCTCCACTTTCAACTCCTCCAACCATTAGATTTCTCTCCAAACAGTCCAGCCATCAATTACAAGGAGGTGTAAACCCATAGTCACTCCACTGAAACCTCTAGGGTTGCTCTGGATTTACACCATCTCAGAGGAGCTTGTACCTGCAGACATTCACCGGGTGAACACCAACTCATTTCTGCTGCGATATCAATGCACCAGACCTGGGGCACATTGGGCAGTCCTGCTTTCTTGGACGCAGATGCCCAAAGCCAGATATCCCTGTCACAGTTTTTCTACATCAGTGTTTAGTCCCCACAGCTCATACACAACTGCCCCAGCTGTTCTCAACTGTCTTTAACTTCAGAGCAAGTTGGGGCTGCTTAAAGCATTTGCAATCTAAGGTACACATTTATCCTGCTTTATCCCTCATATCCCATGCTTTTGGAAACTGAGCACTAAAACAGGCAGAAGAGTTTTTTCACCATTTATCACTTAAAAACGTGCAGACTGACAGCTCAGTGCTGTCACACACACACCGAGCACGAGATCCCCATCGGCACAAGCTGCCATGGTGTTGCGCAGCCCTGCTGAAAAAGACCCTGGGGAACCAGCAGCTGACAGCAAAGGGGCACTGCAACAGTTTAAATTCTGGCTACTTCTTTCTTATAGGATGCATGAGCAAAACGAAGTGAGCTGAGGGGAAAAAAAGCTTTCACTTCCTCAGATGATAGCCCATGCAATATTTCGGTGCCAAGATAATATCCTGGGGCTGACAGAAAGGAAGTTTTGCGTGATCTCTAGCAAAACACTTGCTGCTTACACGGAGGCATTTTGCTCCCTGCACTTCTCAGACATACAAAAGCTCCCAAACACCCAACAAGCTCTGTGGAGCCCACAGACCCCAAAGTTCATCCTAAAGCAACTTGCATGAATTTTTTCCTGTGCACAGGGACTCTCCTCTAGTCCCTTTGCAGCAGGTTGCACCAGAGCTGAGCTCATCCCCGATGCAAACCCTGGCAGCAATGCAGCCCCTTCACCAGGACCATTTCTCCCACACCCAGGGGTTAGAGAGCATCCCCACACCACAGCTCCCACTCACCACCAGGATCAGCGTCCCCAGGCACTCAGCCAGTGCTTGCCGCACTAATTTGTTTCTGATCCTCAGGTGCTCCTCAATGGTAGCAAGAACGTCCTTTTGCCGCCCCATCGCAGTAGAGGTGCTGGTCAAGTGATGTCAGGCAAGAAGCAGCCGCTGACAAAGCCTCAGCAAAGTTTCTTCCCCAGCAGAGCTGCCTTTGCTTATAAATAAGTTCATCAATGCCTGACACACCTCCTGGGTAACCACACCCCTTCCACCCTCTCTTCAAACTCAACTTTTTTTTTTTTTCTCCTCCTTTTCAGCGTGAGACAGCGTGGGTGGTTTTCTTCATTTGCTTTATTGCTTTCACAGGTGAGCAAAAGCTTCAGGAGCTTCAGAAGACGGAGGAATTAACTGTGGCAAAGGTGTCCTGCTCAAGCCACCCCTGTTCTCATCACCCCCTAAAACATGGGGCCCTGTCTGCCCTTCTCAAGCTTCAGCTAAATGCATAAACTGAGCAGTGCCTTACCCATTTGTGTGAGCATGGCACCCTGCTTTTAGCTTTCTTTCCCTCCCAAGCTCCTGCAGGATGGCAAAGTGGTGTGTGCTGATGGCCTGCAGAGGCTGCAGGTGCTTTGGCAGCAAAATCAGGGGGCAGGAGGGTTTGAACCCCCACAGCTGAGGCCAAGGCACCTCCCAGCTCCAGCAATTACCCAGCCGAAGCTGGTATCATGGAGCAAGACCAGACCTCTCTCCATGAAAATCTGCGTCTGGCTCCAAATCCTTGTGTGTCATTAAAGTTTGTCTCACGCTCCCAGAACTTTGGGAAAGCACTTGCAGCCCAGTCCCCATGAAAGCTGTGAAAAAAAGACATGAGGTCCCCAGTGCAAAGCCAATCCCCATCCTAGGATCTTGATGAAATGCCCACAGAATCACTGAGCCACACAGGAACCAACCCTTGCCGGGTTTTATCCTCAGTGATGACCTGTATCACCCTGGGACAATTCTGTGGGATAGCCTGGATGAAAGCAGTTCCAGACCGTACCATCTGAGGTGAGGACTGCTAAGAGAGCATGTGCAATTCATGGCATCTGGTTTTTGTTAAGTGAGTAGTAAAAATTCCCTGGGCTCCTTGACTCACCAGGGCTTGACGCAGAGCAACAGGGCCGAATTTGCAAGACTGAAAGGGACCCTTTTCCTGGATTTGTTCCCCCACCTCCTCTGCAAAGCCACAGATGCCCAGCTTTTCCTCTTCCCCTTATTTAACCATCAATTTTCCTGTGGAAAAACCAGAGCTTTTTAGTGCAGTGCTGAATGGGCCTTTATTTTGTACAGAAACTGCAGCCAACCCAAGGAGCAGTCAGGAATGTGGTTAAGAAAGCAATAATGTGTGAGGAATCAAATACAGGGAAACACTCAGGTCCAAACATAATTACAGGGACAGGAAACTTTCCTCGTTATTTTGTGCTCAAGCCCAGTCTGGGATTGCCAGCATCAATGGGGTCCTCTGAACTACAGCAAGTGCTCCATCAGCCCCATGCAACAAATGCTCAGGACACCCATTTTTAACCTTATCTCTATATCCCTCCCCTCACCATCTTGCAGTGCATCACTAGAGCCATGGAGGCTCCTCACTTGCTCCTTCACTCCACTCTCCTTTATATTCTGCTCTGTCCTTTCACCCTGACGTTGTATCAAACCCTCACAGCCAGAAATGAAGCTGTGTATTAGGTTTCTTTCCATTTTGACAGTTCCCAAACCTATGGCCTGGTTTGCCATTTTTTGAACCACCAGTGTGCAGATGCTGCATTCTGTGGTGCAGGTTTATTGAGATTTTTGTAGACTGGCTCCCATTCCTTCCCTGGTGGTGAGGACAGGGCCATCAGACCAGAAAGGAGCAAAAAGCATAGGGAGATGTGAGGTTCTCCAAGCTACATTTCTCCTGTCTGCAGCATCTGAGCACCTCTGGCTACGAGTTGAGGATACCAGCATTTCCTCACGACTGGTGAAGGGAGAGGAGACGTCCAGGCTCCAAGGCTGATGATATGTCTTGATTTCAGCCAGAATTGTTAATTTTCTTCTTAGCAGTGGTTTGGATTTAGTATGAGAATGATGTTGATAACACACTGATGCTCAGTTGTTCCCAAGCAGTGCTGACCCTAAATCAAGGACTTTCCAGTGTCTCGCTCTGCCAGCGAGCAGGAGCACAAGAACCGGCCAGGAGAGATGACCCAAACTATCCAAAGGGATATTCCATACCATAGAACATGCCCAGGTACATAAACTGGGGGGACTTGGCCAGGAGCTGGCCAGGCTGAGGATCAGTCAGTGTCAATTGTGTTGTTTTTCACTTGTCTTTCTTGGGTTTTATTCCTCTGTCTTTCTCTTTTTCTTTGTCATTAGTAGTAGTAGTAGTATATTTTATTTAATTGACTTATTAAACTATTCTTATCTGAACACACAAGTTTTACTATTTTTTACCATTCTCTTCCCCGATGGGGTGAGCAGGGGGCAGTGAGTGGTACTTAGTTGCTGGCTGGGGTTAATCCATGACATGGTAAAAGGTGGTAATAAGACCAGCATCAAAGATGGTGCTTGGAAATGTCTAGACAGAGGCAAGCTGAGGAGCTGGGGTGGGGTGGGTGCTCCAGCACCAGCTCTGTGACTCATTGCCTGACCCCAAGCAAATCCTTCACCTTTCCACACCCCAGCTTCTCCATCAGTAAATCGGAGAGTGACATCAGATTCCCTTCTTGGGGCGTTGTGAGGGTGAATCACTGCAGCCCAAGATCCAATGACTTAAAATGAGCAACAGGGACTTATGCAACTGCTTTCCCAACAGGCAGCCATGTTATTATCTAGAAAGGAGCTTGGGGAAGGGACAGTGATGCAATGCTAGAAAAAGCGGAGCATCTTTTCAGAAGCAATAACTAATCAAAGTGTGGGTAAGGGCTGAAAGGCCCCGATGCTGGAACTTTTCTGTGCCAAGACAGAAATTTCCTTGCTGCACCAATGAGCTGGACTCCAGGGACACATGATCTAAGCACAAAACAATTAGATGTGCAGCAGCAGCAATAGGTTTCCAAGCAAGCCCATCTCTTGCAGTAACTGGTGCACAGGGTACTCGTACCTGTCCTCATGGTTAGAAGAAACCCACGGATCAGTAGAAATAAACAAGGAAGGATGTAGCAGTAAGAATAACAAGATAATTCCTCAGAGCTGCTGGGCTCTCCTAGTGTTGGGTGGACATAGAAAGATGTCCATGCCTTTAGTGTTGCCTTTCATGGACATCCAAAGAGTTCTTTCACAGCACAAAGGTTTGAAGAAAGGAAATTTTCAAAACTTTGTCACAAAAATTTGTGCTTGACCTGCTAGTGGTTGTCCCAGAGATACTGAAGTGCAATCAAGGGATTTCTCTGATCAATCACGGCATGATTCAAACACCAGGTGTTAAAGCACCTAGAATGAACTACTCCTATCAATCTGTATAGTGTCAAAAAATCAAGGCAATGTAATACTTCAGTTTATGGAATCTGCTGATTGCCCAGAAGAAACTCAAAGAGAAAAGGAAGCTCAACTCAGCAGGGAACCCAGACAACATTGTTATGTTGTGCTCTTTCCATGAATCTCAATCTTTTCTTCCAGTATCTTCTGGGACCAACAAATACAGTGGTACCTAGGAATAAACCAGGATTTGTACCCATACCCTTTGACCCTGGTCCAACAGAGCACTTCTCTGTAATGTTTGTCACTTTCTCACTCCCTTCCTTTCTCTCCTGCAGAACCCTGCAATGTGCCACAAGAAACTCCCTGTGTGCTCAAGCTGTTATTTCTAGACAAGATCCAAAACTAACACCCAGGTTCCAAGTTTGCTGTTTGTGTTTCAGCCTTGCCCCTTGGCTCCACCCCTCATCACTCCATGCCAGGGGAAAGATACAGGTGAAATTATAAAGGAAAGTCCAATCCTTGGCTGCTCCCATTCAGCTGTTTTGCTACTGGCTATAGTGACACAAAAATAAATTCAGGCTCATACATTTCCTTGGCTTCTGCAGAGTCCTGAATCAGCCCCCAGCAATGTAATTTTTCCTATTAAAATCCAAGTTTAGCAAGTTATCAAGACTTTTTTCTTAAGTGGGTGAATGGATAAACCTGGACTGATGGGGTTCCACTGCCTGTCCAAGCCAAATTTATTCACTCATCCCAGGATGGATGGTGCAACCCAACAGGGAGAAAAGTGTGAATCACTCAAATCTGTAATGAGTCACTCATTGCGCTGATGGTGGGGTCACCTGGTGCAAAAGCCATTATGCCAAGAGAGGTCACTGTGTCAAAGCATGACAGGATTCATCCTTGTGAAATCTGCCTTCAGAAGATACCTCTGACCACCTCCTTCCCATGATCTACCTGACGGAGGAATATGGTGACATGTTCATTAGATTTCATTAAAAATAAAAATTATAGCTTGCCTAGCAAGGCAGGGTAGGAAGTGAGTGGGTAGGAAATTTATAAGCTTTCTAAACCATTCTAGCTGGAGGCTTAAGTGCAGTGATTTCAACATTCTGCCTTGAATCTCCAGATTGGCAGAGCCAGGTGTTCGTTTCATGTCTGGGTCTGCTTCACCCTCCAACCTGAGTTAGAAAAATGGAGGCATTCCTCCAGGGAACAGCGGTCATCTGCACAGCTGAGGGTTGTTGATGGCATCTGTTTTTGGAGAAGCTTAAGGTGAAAGTGCCATTCTAATTTAGGTTCCTTGGACACCCAAGACTGGCCTGGAAGCTGCAAACTGGGTATGGACTTGAATTACAATATAGTAATGGGAATAATATTTAAAATCCCTGAAAATAGCTCTTCATGAAGTCCACTGCTTGGAACCGAGTGAAGGAAAAGGTGCCCTGAGTCTATACCTGATATAATTCCAAAGTGTCTCACAGGGATGAATCCCCCAGAGCTCTATTGGAATATGGACCCAAAACTTGTCCCATTGTTGATGAGGCTCCTTGTCATGTCTGGTTTCCTCCTCATCCCAAAGCTGAACCCAGTTCACAGGAATAAACATTGTACATCACATGCCATTCCTGTAGAGAAACCATTTTCAGTATAAGCAATTGCATACCAGAGTAACTACTGCACATTAGAAAAGCATCAGTTCCTCCAGAAGAAAGCTTTTTAATAACACATCTAAAGGGAAAGCTCTTGCAAACAGCTCTCCTGAAAT